TTGAGTCCAGATTTGGAAGTTTCTGAGAACGCATTTGGCACTAGATGTGAAGTCTGTCAAGGTCCTGATAAGGACGGAAAATTAATGTGGTAATTTCACGTGATATAGATTCAGTTTTAAAAAAACAACCTTTCATCTTGTGTATTTACACCCTATGGGGGAAATTGGCTCAGTTCAGCCGTTTTTTCTTCTTGAACTATAAAACTGTAAGGACTATAATAGCTTTCAGCAATGCTGCCTCACAAGGTAAACTTACACAGGACCTAGAGGATATTTGCAATACTCTAATATTTTACTATTTAATTTAAAATTACAGTTTTTGTTCTCATGATGGGGAAAACCTGGACCCAAATTATGTTTTTTTATATATTAAACAGACCCTCCCTTTTTATAAGAATTTTATGTATTTACCTAGAACTAAAATGTGACAAATATTAATTCAGCAACTGGAAAGGTAGAAGAAAAGCAAGTACAGTTTGCCAATTTTCAGTTGATAATGTTGAGCTACCGTGTGATGAGATTATAGTATATACACAGAATCCAGCTGGATTTTACCTTTGACTCACATGCTAGACCATGAAAACATCTTTCAGCATCACATTTCCCCGGTTATTAACAGAGTCTGTTCTTCAATCAAAATAATTTATTTCTCTTGTTTAATCCACAATCATCCTAAATATCTTTGCAATGGCCATCTCATAAATTTGGTGACAGGTTTGAGGTGAATTTCAGATATCGCGTATCAGGGTTTGAGTTTCTGGTGCTGCTTCTGAATCAAGACCAGTAAAAATAGGTACTCACGACTACATGTCAGCAAAAAGACTGTACCGCACACATGCACCAGCAGACAGACCAAACATATTTATAACCAGGGGTTGACAAAGTCTTGAGTAAACGTATTGCTTGTGTCTGAATCTGTCAGTGTTTGTGTGTGTACTTGACGTCTGTTTGCATGCCGACCTAGCTTCAGATTGCTGTTTGAGGATGTAATTGCTCTGCTCCTCTTCTCCTCGGAGTGGCCCAGGATGGATCTGCCCAGGCTGTTTAGCAGTCAATGGCCGGTGCAGATTGTAAACAGATCTCCCATGAATTGCGGGTTTAGCGGTTTTGTGGGTCTCCAAACAAGGCTCTCCCGATAACGCCATTCTCTCGCTGACAAAATCAGCCACTTTGCTGTGAGGGTGTGATTTGAGAGGTGCCAGTCAACGTGATTGACAGTTTTAATCCCCCACAGGAGTAAATAGGAGGGGAAAACAAACCGCGGCCTTATAGGAAACATGTCGCTGTTTAAATGCAACTTTGGGGAAATATTTAACCTATCTAACTGAACAGTTACGAACAGAGGAGGTCATTAAGAAAAAAAATCTGCATAATTGACCAAATTAAAAGTGACAGACACAAACACGCGTATAAAGACGACAATGTTGAGAAGTGTTGTTGTCGTTCACAATAGGAATAAGGGAAACTGAAGTGGAAAAGTGAGAAGAAATAGTTTAACAGTTTTGAACTTTTCTCCTTCTATTCGTCTTATTTACCGGCTGAGCTCTTCTTTATTATATGTGTGATCGTCAAGATTAGAACCCAAGACCGGTTCAAAGAAGTGACATACTGTACGTAACATACTTATAAATGTAACACGACGCCTCTCTGGACGGTAGTAAAAAATAAGTCATCAAGAATTTAACACATATTAATTTTCAAACAACCAGTGGAAAGTAGATAATCATGGGAATGTTGACAGTAACTATCTGAAAGCTGACAGCGCGGCACTCAACAGTAACAGTGTAGAGGAGAGCCATATAGAGGAATGTTAACACCCAGGTCGTCCTAGGTCGATATGAGCTGGCAAGTACACCCCATCCCAACCCCCACACCCACCCACCCATAATTTATAATTACACATACGAGTGTAAAATAATCCAGATTTAGCCTGAAGACAGCTGAGTTTCAATGGTCCACGAGAGTTGCTAATTACCTGTCCACAAACTCGTTATGTTAAACAGTGCAGGTCGTTGACCTCCTGACCTTGTTTTAGGATGGCAGGGTGTAGACTTTCCAATATAAATAGGGGCAAAGGTGTGGTAGAAAACTGTGATATTTTTAACAAATGGTATCCTACAAACTGCACAATTATATACACAACAATAATAATAAAAAAAAAACTATAAAAGTCTTGGTAGGTTGACGTGGAGCTAAGCAAGTCCAGCTCAGGTCTGATTCAATGTAGACTTTCAGGAGTAACATAACTCTTTGTTGCACTATCAACTGGGAAACACTGTTAACATCACTATTGTTCGGTTGTGCCTTAATAATTGTATATGCGTATCAGCAATTTTAATGTTTTTAGAAGATACACAGCTGTGTAGCAATGGGATTATTATTACAGTTGCACTGACTAAAGGGCTACTAATGGTAGAAAAAAGTCAAATCAATCCAAGCCTTTGCTAAAAGCCCAAAGATTCCAGTCAAAAACTGTATCCTGTTTCTGCTACGTAATAATACATGCAATGTTACATGTAATTTAACACATTCTGTACATTCACACAATTGCAGTGATCAGCCAGAACACAGCTGGAACAGCCGCACAAGCTCTGTAATTTCTTTTTCTTACAAATGATGTGAAAATGGCCCATTATGGTGAGGAACAAAGAGGATGGTCCCCCCCCTCCCGTTAGAGCTAAGCCCTCACTGATGTCCCAGTGACTTGGCCAGCCACTCTCCCAAGGCCTACTCCTTGATTAAACGCATAATCCACTACTCCCCATCCCCAGTGATTTAGTGTGCCTTTAAATCAGCTTGCGCACACATAAAAACCTCAAATAAAAATCACCAAGAAAAACCATTGCACTCTAACTGTTCTATTAAAATGATACCCAGCCCAGCCTTTCTTCTCTGCAATACCGTTTATTCCACATGAATGCATATCTTCATTTTTTTCATAGGTATGCGTATAAAATATTTAAAGTTTAAAATGTCACAGTTGAAACATCAAATGCAGGAGTCTCTCATTAATCAGCCAGGATGGAGGTTCTCTTTTGAGGTTATAACCCTTTGAAAGAGCAAAAATTACATTTTTGACCTTGAAGATGAGACAAACTCATAAACATAAAATAATTTGCAGTTTAAAGAGGAAAGAGATATTGGTTCCCTCAGCCAGCAGAGCCCTGGGTAAGTCCGAGGGAGAGACCAGACAAGTCTCATTTTCATATTTACCTCCAAGCTTTTGAGGTTAATTTGAAATCACATCAGGGGGGGAAAAGAAACAAAACTCAGAGAAAACATCAAAAGGGGCAACTGTCAAACTTTCAAATCCACGTGGGCCTGGCTATCACCAAGGTGAGAAACGCAGACGTTTTTCTTGTACTTTTATTAAATGGTGCATGACATTTTCATTACTCAAGGAAATTAAATTGACTAATTTTCTTACAAGCTCTGAAAGAATTCTATTTTAGGGGGATGCGCGGAGGAAAGCAATTGTTTCAACACCTACACAAAAGAACTGCAGGCATGTATGTGCTCTCAGAGGAAAAGTGTTTTCTAAGCCTTATGGCAAATTTGTTCATTAATGAGAGAATTTAGAGTTCAGGCTTTCTCTGATTTAGGATTTAGGACAAAAAAAAAAAATCAATTTTGGTTTATTACAACAAAACAAACAAACAAATGCACTCATGGCATTTGCAATAAAAACAGCTTTGATAAATACATGGCAAGGCAAATTTAAAATGTGCACAAGCAATATCTAATAATTATTCAAAAAAATAATAAAACATTTTTTGATGCTGTTTGTAGGTTTACATAGAACAGATGTATAGGTACATTTATTATCCCTAATTTATCCATTTATTTTACAAAATACCCAATATTTATTCTTTTAAATACGTTTATTGCGATTTCAAATAAAACCAAACCAGACGTTTAAATAGCTTTGGTGTCTGAAGCCGACTATACACTGTTTATTGTGCGACAAGAGCTGTGAGGTAACAGATTTGTTTTAAGAAAAACATGTGAATTACCACTAGATGTTGCTAAATCGAGAACAGTGTCCCCTTTAATTTTAATTTTATTACTCTAAGTGAACACACTCTCCAATTGTAAAAGAGAAAATGAAAAACCTACACCGCTGATTTGTTCTGTTACAATACAAACAATGGACAAACCTGCAGGAAAATGGAAATCTAGCTGATCAGTTGGAGTGAATTTTGTTTGCTGTAACGCAGGGGATTGTGTTTTCAATTGAAATGTGCTAAATGTGTAAAAGCTCTGCTCACTTTCTGTTTTAATTTTTATTCATTTTAATTCTTAGTGTTTTTCATAGTATATTGTTTAATGTGACGCCGTAAGTTAAAAAACGCATTGTTTGAACGTTGTGCTGCTTACCTTGGGATTGAACTGACAAGAAAATAAAGAAAACAGAGAAGCCGTCTATAAACACCTTCCTGTAGTTTACCCACACACTGCATACCACCCCATCACACACAGGGCTGTGCTGCCTACTGTATGTAACATGGCCATATAGTTGATTGGGTAGTTATTGAAACCTAACCTAAAGAATCATCGTTATCAATTTGTAGAAAATGCTATCAGATCGACTACATATTAAACCCTATTTAAATGTGAAGGGTTTCAGAGTTCAGCTTCTGTACGGAGACAGACGGGGCTAAGAAATATATGAAGTCAGCCCGGACCTCAACGTTGCCCCACCTCTGGAGATGAAAAGGCTGATTACCTTCACCTCTCAGGGGTGTAAGCCTCATGGCTGACAACATCATTGGAAAATAGACTACTGAACTCCTTTGGGCCCTATAACAGCTTACATTTAATGTGGTGGAGGGAGATTCACACTAAAGAGGAGGTGACACCGCAGCCATAGCCAAGTTGTTGAATACATTATGAAGGAAACCCCTTAGTTTACGTTGTTGGTAGTGACGCAGTAAATGAGATGAAATGAAGAGTTTGTTTGATTTAAAAAGTGCAGTCAGAATAATGTAGATTTCACTTACTGACTGTGACGTGTGTTCAGTGTTCACTGGTGCCTCTGCTTCTGCTCTTCCTACAGAAAATAATAAATCACAAGCTGAAAGATGGAATGCAAACAAATTGATTCTATACAAATAATCCAAACCAGATTTTTTATTTTTTCAAGTCATCCTTAGACATATATCAGTGACACATTTCGAAACCAGTGGATTAAAAAAATGTCAATTCTAAATGCTAAGCCACTAATCCTTTGATGAAAAAGCTGGGACCCTCTGCATGACCTCTGTGTTCATCAACAGCAACCACAATTTAGTGGCTGCCTGAACTCTCTTTCAAAGGTTAAAGAATTAACTTAAAATTACTTACAATGCCATTAAAATGCTGAGCTCTTTTGTTGTGGCAGTAAATTAATTTAAAACCTCAGCAATTTGAAAAATTCAGAGACATGTCAGGGCGGGAAAAAAAAGAATGGCAGAAGTGAGGCTTTCTCAATGCTTTTGGCTTGGCAAATGTTTGTCTTGAACCGTGAAAAAAAGAAATTGTGCTTAACGAGAAACACATGGGTTTTCACTGCAGAGGAAGCCTTTATAAGAGGATCCTGGCTGTGTAATAAACGGAGACAGGAAAAGGGCACGTGTGGCGGTTTGGGAGGATGAAGAGTTTGTAACTGAGATGGAGCCAAAGTCCTTTTTTTATAAAGTTGTAGTGGAGACAAATTCAATCTTTACTCATCCGGGAAATGAAAAGTGCTGTAGCAACAGAAGTTTTTTTTCAGTCAGGTTTTTCAATGTGGTATGTTTTCTTTGGCATTAATGCCTGTAATTATCACCATTACCCCGTGTAATTGTTCGTAATTGTGTTTTTTTGATCTTTTTGTGCCCTGCGTCGGGAAACAGATTTTACATACAGTGGTGTACACTGGTCCCATGGCGACCTTGTTAGTTAAGGTTTGAATCAGTCAGTAAATGGAGGCTCAGTTCTAGTGTAAATGATGTAAACTTTGACTGACATTCTCACTAATGATGGAACTCAATGCAGTAGAACGGTGGTTATCATACCTTTTTTACACCCTTCCTTTGTAGGAGGGGGTGGAGGAAGGTAAACTTGTCCACTTGTCCTATCTAATGTGCCTCAGTGATTGAAAAACAAACCTCTATTTATGAAAAATGTGTACACAAACATCCAAATTGCTATATTTTTTAAATCAGCCTCCCATGCCAAGAAATGTCATCAAATGTTTGTGTGCGCTGCCTTTGCTCAAATGCATCCTCTGCCTCTTCTTCTGACTACTGAATGACTTTATGTACATTACCACCACCTACTGGACTGGAATGTGTGCATCAGGGTTACTAGAGAATTAAGAAAGATTCATGTAAATTTGTTAAAAATAAACATTTGTTAAAAATATGTACATACAGTATTCTTCAAATAATACTGGATGTAGAAAGTGTGATGAACAACAGTATACGATGGAACCACTTACTGGGGTCATTGTTGGCCTTTTAGTGCACTTGTGTTGATTTTATATGTGCATCTGCACTAGCATGCATACGTCTGTGCTCTAATCACAACAAAAATCTTTTACAGATTGCCCATAATTAGAAAAGCTCCACTCCAAACCAGCTCCATGTTAAGAGCATGATTGCAGCCAAATTGAGCAGTAATTTGTACGATGTGGATGTGGGTGCAGTGTGACGGGAGAACCATGATGGTTTAATGCCATTTTTATCAGGCCTGGCTGGCCTGCCCTACTCAAACAAAGCCTGTGGTGCTGTAGCTCAGACTGGGGGAAGAGAGTCTGTATTGCATCACGTTAAAACAGACATCAAGCTCATTAAAAAAAAAGGAGGGAAAAGAAAGAACTAGTAAACAGGTTTTCTGTCCTCAATAACCCCACGAGACCCATCATGGATGCTAATGGAATCACTTGCCCTACTATTATACGAAAACCTAAACATCACCTGGCTGCCTGTGTGTGTGTGTGTGTCTGCAAGTGTGTGTGTGTGCGTGAGTGCGTGCGTTTGCGTGTCTGTGTGATGAACAGATGCACTCATTATTATTCCACAAAGCCTATCAAGGCCAAGCTACTGAGAGGTCCAATAAAAACTGAACTGGAGACACAGCATTTATTCTCCACTGTGATATTTGTATTTAGCAATCTAGTCTTTGTTTTTCATGCTGGAAAAGAACTCTGCAACTTAATTATGACCTCTGCAACAGTCACATTCTCTTTTTCACAGTGGCGTGTAAGTAGGAACAGTTTCCTTTTCCAAAAGTATGTTCATATTAGGGCTGCATCTGATTATCCTTAAAGGCTATTAATCCAGCAAACACTTTTTTTTCTCAATTTATTGACAAGGCATTTCATTCAATAGATACAGAAAGTGGTGGGAAATAAAATCTAAAAATTACATTGTTTTTAAATAATATGTCCTCAAACCTGAAATGTTTTCAGTTGTAAAAGATTTTTAAAAAATCCATGGTACCATATATTTTTTACTCTGAACTTTAAAGATCAGATTTTGGATAATTAATGTCAATAATAATTTACTGTAAGTTTTCTTAGACTTTCACTTCTGTAGGTCCACTGACAAAATGCTCCTTTTACACTCAATTAGTAGAATAAGGAAATAGACAAGTACAAATACGAAGTGTTGTATGTACTCTGTGCTGTCACCCTATTTGTTCAAAACAATGCAGAAAAAATGTTGTCCTGAAGAGACTCCAGTGGAAAATTACAGTACAAAGGTGTTTCAGAGTGGGTTGGCAGGTGTGTACAATTGTGTAAACAGATTTTATCACAGCATTAGCACCAGAGAAGCACAGAGTGAAGTATCTGTGTTAGTGTACACAGTACTTGAAGTACTTCAGAGACTGATGTGGTGTGACCTGAGAACACAGACTGGTATTTTGTTTACGTCTCAGCATTTTGTCTAATTTTAAATGTCAAGAAATATCTTTCTAAATAATTGCTAAACATTCCAGGAATCCCTGGAATACTTTTAAAAAAGAAAATATATTTTCGGCAACTAATCCAGTGCTTATAGTAGGAATAAATACCTGGGGTTGTTTGCTATTAAATTGTACTGACTCTGTTCCCTTTAAAACACATTGCAGACAATTCTTTTAAACTTTGTTGCGTTTCCAGATAGAGGGACCAAATGAAAACCAAAAAAGGAAACCATTTCCTAACTTCAGTTCAATGAAATTAGTTCAAAGAAGTGACAGCGTAATAACCAAAAAGGGTGATATTGCTCATTTAACTTCAAGTTAATTAAAAATGAACCTTGTTTATGATACAAGGGTTTTAATAAATGTCAGTGAAAAAATAGTTACTTGGCTGACTGTAGCATGGTCAGCTCACGTATTGCTGCTTTTATAGCCAGTCATTTTGTGCATTCGTTCTGCATGCAAGAACAGGAGAGGAACCTCACACTCAGGAAGCTAAAGCTAACATGTTGTTAGTACTTTACAGTGGTTATATTTTGAAGGCTGTTGAACTAATGAGAGAACATGACAGCGTGCCATTTGTGGGAAATGTTTTGAGAGTTGGATGTTGTGCTGAAGAGCACCTTACTTGTTGTCTACGCCGGTAATTGAGGAAAAAAGCAAGTCACACCCAAAAGTGGGAAAGTGGCCAAAATCACTGAAATCAACACGTCTTTAGTGATAATTGTGACCCGTTCTAATTAACAAGAGTAACAAGGACTCATGTCTGACTGAAGGAAAACTCTAATTCTTTTTCAGATGAGTTTTACCCTTCAGGTGTTTACAAAGAGCTGCAGTGGAGCGTCCATTCACATAAGTCCATCTTGACGTCTAATGACATCATTCCTTAATAAAGTTCCTTAGTATATTACCCTCCAACCAAATGACAGCATCAAATCTGCTCTCTTAAGAAAATTGATGAGATCCATTTCCAAAATGGTGCCCTTGACAGACATTGGAATGATGGCAAGCGTTAAGTTTTATGTGATGTAGTTGACTCTAACATAACCACACTACACGCGGCAATCGACTGGTGAGCTCATTCACCACAACGGTCTTGACATTATGTTATTTGTCTGTCAAAAAGGCAAAGTATAATTTTATATACATATATATACATATGAATATATTTCAATCACTAAAAGTAGGTTATTCCTCCCTAAGGATACAAATTATTATACAAAATAATAATTATGTCTAACAACAATTTCTAAGGATAAAATGAATTTCCTGATTGTCTTTTCTTTGTGACCCATGTTTGCACTCAGTAGGAGGTGGAGGCTCCAAACAGTTAGTAAACAAAAAACATTTTTAAAAAGTACTAAAGATACTCCAATCCCAGCAGAGCTTAAAGCTTTACTGCAGCCCTCTTATCTTCCATTACTGACGAGTGCAGCAAACATATTCTGCATCTCTGTTCTGATCCCAGTCCAACTCTATTAGACACTTGTTTTTCAGAGGATGCATCAACTTCATTTCATTCAGCAACGCTTGGATGTGAACAGAAAAAAAAGAGAGAGTGAGAAAAAAACTGTCTCAAAAATTAAGTTCCTTAAGACCATCTTTACCCTCTTCTGTTCCTAATAAGAGATCTGTTTCTTTTTGTTGTTTTTTCCCTCATAAAGCTGTGCCATGTATAAACGCCTGGAATGAAAGCCAGCACAATAGCATTACGGAACAAAGGCAGGAAGGAGATTGAGGGGAAAAACAGGGGTGAAATGGCATCATCTCCAAACTTAATGAAACAACATCCTTTCATTTTTTCTCAGTAATTATAATAAAAATGGAAAAACATAATAAACGTCTCCCAGCCCCCACCTGCTAACAGTAATTATAATAGACTCAACAATAAATGGTAAAGCAGCACAGAGCTGCATCTTGGGAATTCTCAGGGGTCTGTGGATTAGCTTGAAAAGCCTGAATGATTAAAATACACTAATTAAAATTTTGTGTTCCTTAGTAACTCGTCTTCCAAGGCCCCTTGTGCTGGTAAAATGGGAATAAAAGCGACAAAAGCAAATACTCTTTTGGACCTGAATAAATAAACAAGTCTAATCAACTTAGTGCTTTAAGAGAATGAGTTAC